TTTTGTTCTCAAAGAGGACCATGGCATCAGGAAAGTGATGCCATGAGTTGCAAGTGAATTGGATTTAAGTGAGGGATGGATGTACAAAATCTCCAGCCTCACTTTCTCCTCCAGAGCCACCTGGGTCTGATAGCAAAGATATAAATCAGGAGGACTAGAGATGACCTTGGGACTTAGTGGGAGACTTTGGTAAAGTCTTTAACAAGCCTTTAACAGCTTGATTGAGGTGACACCCATTCAGTGATTAAGGTTAGGTAAGAAAAAAAATCTGGGAGTGGAAGACCCTCAATGGTTCTTGCTAAAACAGAAACAATTGCTATTTATATTCACTCTGAGTCAATCGGCCCAAACAATGACCAAGTGGGGCTTGGCCTGTGACCTATTTTTGACTTATCAATGAGAGCCAGAATGAACTGGGTTTAAGGTATGGTCCTTAAGAAAAAAATCCAGCCTTTAAACTCCAAGATATCTTTACGTGACCAAAATTTACATTACTTTGGGCAGAGCACTAGTCCCGATGTGGACTGAAGGGGAGGAAGGAGGACACTTAATTCAGTCACTAAGGAAGGCTACAGGGGCAGGTTAAGTCTTATGTCCTCTCTGAAACCATTTCCCTTCTCCTAATTCTTCTTGGTATTTGTACTATATCAGCTTATTACTTGATGCTATACTACTGTGGGTTACTCTCCAAGTTATGTTTCTTCAGTTAGGTTACAGATTCTTTGAAGGCAGGGAATCACATCTTCAACTTCCCATCTTTCCTCACAGAGTTTAGCAGGAACTCAGCAAATACCTTTCCATTGATACATTTCATTCTGAAGAAAAAAGGACTAGTTTGAAGGTTCAAATTGTCTGCGTGGACTAGGGCAAACTTTTTATTTGAAAGATCATCTACTCACCAAACCTGAAACTGACATGATTATAAATGGATGTTTATATCTCTTGAGTTAGAATCATAGAAAGTTAGAGATGGAAGGGATCTTAGAGAATTTCTCATTCAACTACCTTTTAGCAAAAAGAATATGCTCAGTAGTTCCATTAACCCTTTCATTAGAGGCTTCTAACTAGAAGAAGCCTCTTCTAGTTAGTTTATTAGTTAGTCTTTAGTCTGTTATTCCTAGTAATCCCAAGGTAGGCTGGAGATTTATTTGTGGTGATTTATTTGTTTAGTGTCAAGAGCCACGCCTCGAAAACAATGATTTATTTAGGCATTTCAAAAGGTATAAATGACAACAACAAAACACTCAATATTTTTAGTTCTATACCTAAGTAAGAAGGATCAAAGACAGACTTTTCCAAACATTATTTGGCTTCACTAATTATCATCATTATTCTCTTTTCAAATCAGTGCATAGCATGTAATTCACTGGTGAGATCTGGAAATTTTTAGCAGCCCATTGGGCAGTATTACTGAATGTCCTTTCATTTGGGGTCCAAATTACTTTATGCTCATAGCCACAGACCCTTTCTTCACGTAAGCAACATCCAAGATGTGCTTAGAGTTCATGAAAAAGTTCCTATGGCTTGTAGAATGTTTGCTGAAAATGAAGTAGTTGCCCACAAAAAGAAGAAAACTTGGTACAGCAAAACTTGTTTTATTCATTAGTCAACTAGAACTAAAGAGTATTTCTGTATGACTATAGTACAGAGCTGGATGATGTCCATAGTGAAGGTCCTATGGTGTTCTGAAATGCCTTTTGAATTATCAAAGAAATATTAGTGTTATATAGTTCATGGGATCATAGATTTAGAATTGGAAGGGATCTTAGAGGTCATTTAATCAAACTTTTATCATTTTTTTAGTTGGGGAAAATGAGACCCAGATAAATGAAGTGACTTTACCCAAGGTAACACAGGTGACAAGTGGCAGAGACTGGATTTGAACTCAGGTTCTAAGACTTCCAATTAAACCCTTTTTCTAGAAACACTGCATTATAATTCTTTAAACCTTTCTCATCCATGTATAGTTTAGGGATGATCATTTCCCAAGATTCCTTAGGATAACATAGAATCAGTATGTTAATCACTTCAGTTCCCTTAATAAACCAAAAAACCCTATTTCCCAATAATACAGTTTATCATACCTCATACCTAGAAAGGTTTTATTGTTGGTTAACATGAGCTGGGCATCTTCTTTCTTGATTAAAAAACATTCATGTTTTTTTTTTTTTCATATTCCTTGAGAAGCTATTCTGGAATTTTAACTTTTCCCTTCTGTATTTATAATGAAACTGTCACTGCTTTTGCTACTACTCTGTCATTTAGCTGTCTAGACTGCAATGTTTTGACTGACAGATAATTATTATTTTTCACCATAATTAATCTGCTTTTAGTAAGTTTATGTAAGTAGCTAGTGACTGATTGGATTATTTGGCATTATGTTCATGGGTGCTTTTTGAACGTTCATTCAGTTTTCATCCTTCCCCATTTGCAAGTTCTTCTTCCCTTTCCCCCATCTAATTTTTTGAAATAAAAATACATCCACTTCCAGGGCTTTGGGAAGAACATTTTATTGCTAAGCATATCCTTGAACAAAAATGCAAATATGAAAAAAATAAAAGAGGAAAAGGAAAAAGAAAAAAAGCTGTAACATCACAACAACATAAAAGAAATTTCTTAAGGTTCTGTCCATAGAACAGGGATATGGTAGAAGCCACATACAGGATGCACACGTTTCCAAAAAAGTGTCCAAATAGAAACTTACACAAAAAAAGAACAGAACAAAGATTGTGTTTACTCAAAAAGGGGGGGGGGAAAGCAAATGGAAAAGAAAGCAGGAAAATCATTTCACAAGACTCCAAGACTCCAAGAATAGCAATCTTTTACAGACATCGAGATATAATCAACTTCATATAGGTTGGGCCATTTAAGTTGCTTAAAACTGTGCTTTCATACATTTTTAAACTCTCTTTTAAAAATCTTAAACAAAAAAAAAAATCCAAAAGAATCCCCAAACACTTACATCAAAAGGATCAGATAACCAGGAACACTTCTTTCCATGTACATTAGGGAAGGCTATCTTCATTTTAGAATACCTTTTTTGTTCCTGGGTATTTCTTCAAAGTCAAATATTCATGCAACTTACAAATACCAGCAAGAATAGATTTCTAAATCTAAACAGCTGATTGGTTTTCATCTGTACACAAAGAAAATTTATATTTCTGATATTCCAGAGTCTTCATTTTGTTTTTGTCATTGTGTGTTGTTGTGTTTTTGTTTTTTCTCTTGCTTTTTGTATGCAATAGCCATGGCCACACAACCAATTTTATTTTTTTATACATTGTTACCCTCTTTCAAAAAAACAAAAAAACCCAAAATTAATAAAAGAAACAAATGGAAACAAAAAGAACAGTTAAACCTTAAAGCAGTATGTACATAGGTGACTATCTAAGAAATTACACAAGCAAAAAAAATTAGCAAAAGATGTAAACAGAATCTGAGATTTTTTTTTCTTTTGACACAGGTGACTGTGACAAAACTAAAACTCACATAGTCTTCACATTTTTAAGGTTTACTTTTTGTTGTTTTGTTATTTTCTTTTTAAAACAACATTCTCATTCTACTTCAAGACTTTTAACAGATTTTCTGTTCCAATCGTCCCATCAAACATACCATGATAAATATATCTGTATATATATTTATATATATTATACTATTAAATTCCTTTGTGTGTGTCACAGCAGCTTTATTCATTCATTTATTTACTTATTTTTATAAAAGAGAGGGTGGGAGGGAATGGGCAAATGGAAGGACAGGGTTATTTGTAAGTGTCAAGCTACAAAATTAAAATTACATATGAAAAACATTATGTTGGAAAAAAAACTATGCATTTTGTACTCTTTCATGATGTGTTTGGCTTGTGTGACCTTTGTTATTCTGTCACAAGTGGAACTCCCATATCGTCTGTTTTGATTATTTAACTGATTTTTTTGAAATTTTTTCTTTTCTTTTTATTTTTGCATGCATTGCAATCATTCATGGAACCAGGCTCCCTCCCCCCCACTCCCCCAGGAAAGGCTCATTTTAGTTTGTGGGTTGTTTCAGCTCCCAACAGCTGATTTTTTTCCCCTTTACCACAATTTGACTGTGCTAATGCATTTGAACAGTATTGTCGATAAAGCCAATAACCCTGATGAAAGGAGACTTAACCCATCTGTTCAAAGAGTTTGCAAATACTGCAAATACTGGAGTCAGATCCTAGGGTACCTGCTTTAAACCTCACATCATCACCAGCTCATGCATTTGCTGCATTTCCAGCAAAGCATCTCACTGAAAACAAACGATTGATTCTAGACACACCACAACCTGATATGTAGAGTGAACACCATGTATAGTTTTTGAGTTCATATATGGCAATAGTCTCTCTCTTTTTTTTTTCTGAAATTTTTCTTGTCAACTCATGTCCAGTCTCAGTCTCAAAAAAATAAACAAAAACCCAAAAGCCACTTTTTTTTTTCCCCTCAGATCTCGAAAAGTTACACACATACTGGCTGGGGCCAGATCAGTTTGCTGTTTTTTTTTTTTTAATCTTTTTTTTCTCCTTTTTTTTTTAAATAATAAAACTGAAAAATCATTGATACAGTCAAGGATCACAAACATCATTAGAGACTCACTTGGAGTTATGAAACAAGTAAGCCATGAAGTCTTCTACCTTTTGTCCAAAGGTCCACAAAAGAGATGGAAACTTCAATGTCCAGCTAAAGTGGTAGAGCTATCTGTCTGCTCCAGAGTGCTAAGTATGCTTTATGATACAGTAGGGCAGACTTCTCTTTCTCCAGGTCATGGCTGATACATAACAGCCATGTCTGAAAATAAATATATATATATACACATATATATCTTTGTGTGTGTTGTTTTTTTTTTTCTCCCACCAACTGTAGCTCCCAAACTCATTACAGGTATAACAGTTCTTAAATCTTGTGGTTTTTTTTTTAAGTATTTATATATTTATATATAAATAATTCTGTTTTTAATTCTTTTTTATTTTTATTTTTTAAATTTTACACATAATACTCTTTGTCTTTGTTTTTCTGTTTCTTATGGCCACTCTTTGAGCTCTGCTGCTTCTCCTTGACGAGCATGCCGTTGCTCTGGGCAGAGTTGCTGATGTAGTTCCGCGTCTCATCCACCTGATAGGACCCCTCGTCCCTGTTCCTGTACTTGTACATGGCATACAGGAGGATCAAGATGCAGAGGGCGGCAGCAGCCACAATGCCGACGACCATCCCTGTTGTACTGCTCGACTCCCGGATCACCTCTGAGGCCCCCGGAACCCGTCTGATTCCTGGCTCTGTGGGGTTTGCTGTGGGCACATTACGGAACATGGGGGAAGTAATTAGTGGGCTCTTCAGCTTTGTGCTGTCTAGCTCATAGGCAGTGGGCAACGGAAGCAACACTATATCAGGCTGGGGTTTGAGCTCACGGTTATTCATTTTGCCAGCTGGCAATTTGGGCACCATCCCAGACGAGGAGGAAGCTGTGGAGCGGATCAGCTCAGGGGACAAAGATGTGGTAGTAGTAGTCCTACCAGTTTCGGAGACTTTGTTAGGTCTAAAGTTCTTGGATTCCCACTTGGGCGCATGTGCTTTGTAGCCACCTTCGAAGATTGAAGTGGAAAGACTCTTATCTGTTACCAAGGAGAAGGTGGTGTAAAAATCTTCATCATCAGTAGGGGGCAGGTTAGAGTCAAAGGTTTCCCCTGAGCCATACCCAGATATCACCAAGCCATCATCATCACAACCATCGCTGCCTTGGTCCGACAAGCAAGGTAACCCCGCCTCAGAGGTCATGGACAGGGAATCTTTGGTGGTCTCAATAATGGTGAGGAGGGGGCGAAAGGTAGGGGGGAGTGTAATGAAAGGTGCACGAGTAGCAATAGGAGGGGGGTTTAAAGGGTCTTCTACAAGTAGAGGGATAACTAATTCACCTCCTGGGATGGAAAGAAAAACAAAAACAAAGGGTTAGTACATTGTCAAATATGGCCCATCCTTACTTTCAATGAATTTAGGCTAAATGGTTGGCAGGCATCTATGTTATAAAGAAGTAACATAGATCTTTCCCCTGGAGCTGTTAAGCCATCCCAAGCATATTTATAGTCTCCAAAAGCCTCTTGCAGCCATAACCTGAAATCCCTCGGGGAAAGGGGAAGATAGCCTTTGAAGATACTCTCAAACAGCTACTTAGAATTCAAATGTACATTTCTAAGTACAGATGAGATGGTAACATTATTCAATTACAGTTTTATGAACATCTGCTAGAGGGCAACAGGGTGACAGGTTTTAAAGATGTGATTTTTCTAAAAAGTTCCCTCAGATGGCTGTATCATCTATTATTGAGTTATTGGGGTTTTTTTGCTTCCTTTTTTTCTTTACTCTTTTTCCTTACTCCTTTTCTCCTCACTCTTGCAAAGATAATACCACCTTATAGGTGGAAAGTGCTTTACAATTTAGAAAATGTGATCATATACAAAATGTCATTTGAACAACATGCCAATCCTGTGAGATGAGCAGGTTTTATTAACCTCATTTCATAGATGAAGAAAGTAAGGCTCAAGATAAGTAATTTAGAGTCATAGATTAGATATAGGATGGATCTCTGAGGTTATCTTTTTTCAATTCATTTTACAGATGAGGAAATCAAGGCTCAGAGAGTTGAAGTAACACTTTTGAGGTCACATAGGTTGTAAGTGGCAGAGATAGGTTTCAATCTCAGGTCCTCTGACTACAAGTTTTCAGCTCTTTCCACTGCACTACATTTTCTCCTGTACAAAGTCACAGCTAGTAAATGGCGAAACTGACACTAGCCAGGAAATGATTTGAATCTCAATCTAGTCCTTTGTCCAGTATACTACGTGATTTTTCACTGTTATCTGAGCTATGGTCCCAATACAACAATGCCTATTTACTGGAACCATGCATAGAATGGGCCTTTAATGTATACATTTTCTCTCCTCAGTCCATTATCTTATAATTTACTTTATTTAGCTGCATGCATCCTCTTGCACAGATACACTGTGAGGAAGTTGAAGGCCCTGGTTTGTGGCATGTGAATTTCTTCCTTGAAATTCTGGAAATCAACTGTCAAATAGCAACACTTTCTGCTTTTGCTAGATAACTACATATTCTTCTTTGCTTACATGTTGGGTAAGTGATTTACTGCATTTTTCATAGTGGATTAAAAAAAAAACCTTGTGCATTTGATTTTGGGTCTATTGGAAAATGAGGATTTTAGAATTTGAAAGGAGAGTACTTTAAATAACAGAGTTTTACACACAATAGGAACATAATAAATATGTATTGGTTGTTATTTTCCTTCTACCTTGGAGTTAAAGACACTGTTTTTTGCCTTTTTTAAGAATGAATAAAATTTTTCTCTTCACAAATGTACCTTTCCTCAGTACTTTTAAGCCCAACAGATAACTATACAGCTCATAGAAACCATGAATCCTGTTACATCTTCATAATCCATTCATTCCAGTAGAATATGAGCTTCTTGAGGTCAGGAAGGATATTTTCATTTTGTTTTTGCATCCCCAGTATCTACTGTGGTTCTTTGTACATATTAGGAGTTTAATAATTAAATTCAGGAAATTCTTCCAGAAATTCAATTCTATCACATATTTATTTTAAATGGACTGTCTGGTGGTATGAATGTCAACTCTTAGCTATGTTCTAGGGATAAAATTAAGGGGTGAAATAATATTCTGTCTCCCAGAAGGGAAAATTTGACTGTCATGATATGAAGGCTAGTCAATTTAAACAGCAGTTCAATAGATCTATGTCAGTAGTACCCATGAACCCAGCATGGCCCTAGCTGAGGCAAACTCCAACCCATGGTTCATATGTTCTTAGTAGAGAAGAGTTCAACTCAGTCCAGAAGCTCTAAGGATCACTTAGAAATGGCTCAGTTCAGTCTCAGAGCATTCCTCTTGGAGTGTCTAATCTCCAAACTAAAATCCTAGGGAATGTATAGGACTGGAAATCCTAACTTTTGAACTCTCTCCCAACTTCTGAGATCTTCTTAAGACAACAGAACAGGATTGGAATTGAATAGATTTTAGGGATATCAAGGAATGGCATCCTAATACCCAGTGTCAATGCCCTCTCCAAGCTATAGGTTTTGTTCTTAGCTTTGAATTATTTGATGGATATTGGGTTATCCCAACAGGCTTAAGCAGCATGATTTAGTAGAATGCGTGCTAAACTTGGGATCAGGAGACATCTAGGTTAGAATCTACCCTCTGAGAATCAGAAATTGTGTGATCATAGGAAGCCATTTAAACTCTTTGAGCCTCTGTCTCCTCATCTATCAAATGGGTCTTTAGTATATACATTTTTCTCTCTTCAGTCCTTTATCCTCTCATTTATTCTATTTAACTGCATGCATCTTCTTGCACAAACATACTGAGAAGTATTTGAAGGCTTTGATTTGTGTCATATGGATTTCTCAATGGGGACAATTACACAAATGGGGTCAGTTGTGCTTATAGTACCGACCTACTTCACAGAGCTGCTTGTGAGGGCTAAATGAGACACTGCATTAGTATCTTAATATGGCACTAAGATTTTTGGAAAACCCTATGTATATTGGCTTTTATCATTAGTATCTAATTTCTGGACCTGTGGCAGGTCTGTGTTCCAGAGCTTACTAGAGCCTCTGTGGTAGTATCTTAGTACTTTGGATGAAATGCTTCTCTGTAGAGGGAGATGTTGTTGGAGTTGTTGGAGAAGGGGGAGGGGAAGAGAAAAAGGAGAGTGCTGGGGCATTTTAATACTTTAAATTACAAATATGAGAACAAAATGTTTACATGTATTTTAAGCCCTCTTTCTAGATCAGAACCCTTCACTCCAATTATCCCCTTCACTGCCATTATGACAAAATGACACACTTCTATTTCTTGACCTATTCTATAGCTATGAAATAACCATCCACATTAATGAGGAACTATCTTGAGAATCACAGGATAACATTTTGACCGAAATCCTGAACTCTGGGTTCTATAGCAGCAAACAGAATTTGGAAATTATTGAGCAAAATCATCTTTGCAGATTTTCCCAAACTTCAGGCAAGCTTCACTTGGGTAGTGGTTACTCTTTACATTGAGGACATATATAATTCATATGTCTTGTGAGTTATTTGATGCATAATTTACACACTGTTGCTACTTGTACAAATGGGATATAGAGTTTGCATTCCTAAAAGTAAGCTGATCCTTTACTCTGAAAAGTAAACTATGAATGAACTTTTTTCTTCTTCCATGTAGATAAAGGGGTGAAATGCTAGATTGGGAGGTTAGATGAGTGAAGAGAGAGCTGCTTTTAGAAGAGGGAGGGCAGGGAGAGGAAGAAGAGAATAAGTGTAATCTATGTGGAGCTATATCTTAGAGATTTCTCATCAGTCATTTTGATTTTTTACTTAACAAATCTCTATATTGGTTTTTTACCCTCTTAACATAACCAAGGATTACATTTTCTAGTCCTTAGTGATTAATTTTTTTTCTGTAATTAAAATATATTTCTATGGAAAACCTGTGAGTTTCAGTGCTATTAAAAAACTAAAGTTCACAAGAAGCACTTGCTGAGTTTTGTAGATTCAGGAAGAAAACAAATAATTTGAACATAACTTTTTATTAGTGAATATAAATTCCAGAGACTTGGGTGTATGTATGTTTTCAGTGGGTTGCTATGTGATTAAGATTAAGGTATCCATGATTAAAGAGTAGTATTCATTGATATCATAATAATGACATAATAAACTATGTCTTAATAAAAGGATTTGTTCTATAAAACTTGGACTCTGTCAAAAGGCCACACCCAAGGACCTAGAACGCCATCTGTGGCCTCGAGGTCACAGGTTCCCCACCACTAGTCTATTATTTTAGTTTACCATCTATGATATCCAACTGGAATTGTAAGTTTGTGGGGTATTTTTTTTCAATAGTGCATACAATGCTTCTGAAGTGTCTTTTTTAATTTATATCTATAATCCTGACAAAAGCTCCACTCTCCTTCTTTAACCTACATATACACTTAAACTGTTGTTGATAGCTTCTTTCCCATTTCTTAGTCTACAAGCACCACAATGCTAGCTTCTGGATTGTTTTTCACTCTGAAAACGGGTCACTAGTTTTTAGATTAAAAGAATTAAAGAGAGAAAATCAATTTAAACCAATGCTAAATTGAAGGTTTGTTTTGTCCCCTAGATGTAGTGATCTAAATCATTATCTCACTAAATGTAATATGCCATTTCAGTTTCTAAACAATAGATACCATCAAGATTGCCTCCTAATTTTGGTTGTAATTTTGTTCATTCCTAGTAACCCTAATAAAAATGAAAATTATACCTCCCTGTGCAAGACTTAAGACTTAACTCTTCTGGTTTTTAATTTAGGAAATGAACTAATTAGTATAACATAAGCTCCTTGACTATGAGAATATTTTGTTTTTGTCTTTGTATGTCAAAGCTTCATGAATAGTCCGTGCTTTAAAAAAATATCAATTGAAATAAGTCAAATAAAGATCTTCACACTTCTCTTATATTGGGATTTTAATGTTAGAGGAAAAAAAATTAAAGGGATTCAAGTTAAGGGTGTTGATGGTGGTTATTTGAAATGAAAATTTTAACAAA